AAAATCATTAAAATGATGATGTTATGAGAGAAGAGCATAGAATTGAGAGAAGAAAATTATGGGACCATAAGAGGAGTGATTGGCTTTGACTATTGAAAATATACGAGACCATACCAGAAAAGTTTACCACGGACAGGTCTATTTATGTCAACTATATTTATCTCAGATTCAACCTTTTCATAATATAAGTAAGATTTAGGTTTTTATTAGACACTATACAATGACCTTCAAAATAAATTGCATTTTTCCGAAAACAAAAACAAGTATTTGATAAAACTATTTTAAAGAGGAGATAAATATAAGAACATAAAGGATATAGAGTATGATTTTATTTTATTTTTATTTTTTATTTTCAACAATGGAGATTTGATATTTGGTATCACCATAAAGTTCACTAAAACTCACCAGGGAGATTATCTTCTTAACAATAACTTATAATTTTAATACAAATATTCAATTTACTTGTTTTCTTAAGCAATATTTCAAGGTGTTATTAAAATAAATGATTGAGAAACTTATCTAATAATACTCTAGATCGTTATGGTTTATTTTATTTAGCTTGAGCATACTAGCTAAAAAAAACTTATCGTTTCGGACGCAATATCAATTTTCTTTTCCCATTAGAAAAGAGTTTGACGTGTCCACATCTGCAGCTAAGAGTCTCTGCAGAATTTGAATATAATGGTCTTCTCACACTGTAGAGATAAGTATCTAATGGATTAGTCTAAGATTGGGGTCTCACTTAAAATTTAATAGATATAGGTGAGACCATGAATACATACCAGTGTCTAATATTTCTCTCTCTTATATCTATCTACATAATATTATTGGAAAGAATAATTACAGAACTTTTTATATTTAAATATCTTAATTAAAAAAAAATACAAGAACCACGAATAAACAAAATAATTAAATTTTAAATTTTATTTTGAACGTTTTTGTGATATGTTGGACTGTTCACTCTAATCAAATTTATCTTTTCTTAAAAATGAATTTAAATTTAATTTAATTACCAAATGATTATAAAGTGAACTTAAATTTAATTTAATTATCAAATTGTTTTTTTAAAAATTAAATTTTAAATTTAATTTAATTACAAAATAAAATTATAAAAGAAATTTTACATTCAAATATGTATTTTAAATTTTCTTTATCTTTAATCAAATTTCAAAATATTTGTCATAGTTAGAATAAATTATAATTTGTGATTTTAATCGTGTGAACTATAAATCTAACTTAATTATATAAAATTAGTTTTTAAAATAAGATTTATATCACATATACAATCTAAACTAACATTGTCCCGATATAAAAGTCCTAACATTATCAAAGTTGCAAAAACAGCAAAAGATAACTGAGATTTTTTATAATAAAGAAATAATAAATTTATAAAGTTATATAATTATAGAATCATATAATTATAAAATTAAAGTGACGATTACATCACCCTTAACAAAATCATTTACCAGTAAATATCAATTTAATAATTTTAAATTTTTAAAAACTCAAAAAATAAAAAAAATAATAAGAATTCAATTGAAGTATTTTAAATTTACAAATTTAATTATTCTTTTATGTTATCTACTAGAAATAGAACTTTGGGGAATGGCTACGAATGAATGCAATAAGTGATTTTATGTTGTCATTTTTTTTTTGTAAGAAACGGAGCTTTGATTATAGGAAAAGTGCTTCCTCAACGCAACTATAAAGTAAATTTAAGTAAAACTTATTCGGGAAAAATCAGATATGCAAAAAGAAATGTATAAATCCAACCAGGTGTCCCGCCTATATTGAAACAAACCACTAAATTCAAACACCTAACTATAAATACTTACTATCTTTGAAGTATGAGAAAACAAAAAGTTTGAGAATGTACGATATCAAAGATGTGATTATTTTCAGAATTTTCTACTTAGTAAAAAAAACTAAAGAATTAGATGAACATTAATAAGGTGATAAAGTCATATCATAATGGATATTTGAATTATAAGAAGGGGCTACATGGAGAAACATTTGTAATTTAAACTTTAATCTGAAAACAACAATATCTATCAACATATTAACTAACAAACTTGTACATCTCAAATATAAAAAGTAAGAGAAAATAAATAAATACATGTTTGTAATTACATAATAATTATAATTAATTTAAAAAATTATAAAATAAAATTATTATTTTTACATTTCTTAATAATGGTCATTTGTACAAAAGTTAATAAAGTGTAATAAATACTCTATTTCACTACATAATAGGTGTCTCTGATCCACCCCAACCAACCCATTTTACATGCATTGGCCGAAGAAAAAGGACCAACCTCGTTTTGGTCTTCTTAATAGAAACACTAAACACGGAGAGATAAGGACAAAAGTCACAGAAGGGAACCATAAATGGCAACAGATTCCTTCTCACTGAAAACTCATCCAATGCCACATTCCATCTTTGTCATGTACTGCTTGGTGTTTGTTGCCTTTCATCTCTTCTTGATTCTCATGTCACCATCTATTAAAGCCTCTAAGTAGTTAGATTTACTTTCATATTTTATTAAATCATTATTTAACTAAAACATAATTCAATTTTATTTATATTTACTATATTAACTTTTCAATCAAATTAAAGTAATCTTTTATTTTCAAATTTATTTTTTTCAATGAAAAATAAGTTATTACAATGAAAAGAATAAATAAGAATATAAATTAAATGCAATTAATTAAGAAATGAAGTGACGGATCAATAGAAATATGTAAAGAAAACTAGGAATGTTACTACTTTTCAAATTACATTTTTTCCTTTCCTCGTCCAATATTACATTAGTTTTATCCTTTTTTCCAGTTCTCACTCACTATCACAACAAAACAAAATGTTAAATGTCGTTTTATCATAAATATTTTAGTAAGTAACTTTGATACTCTACTTCTAAATTTATTTGGTTCACGTATTTAAAAAAAATGTAATTTTGGGCACATACATAATTTTACATAAATTATATTCTTTTATCTTAATTCAATTCAATTGTTATCTTAACATGTTGATTTAACATTCCACAAACAACTTATCGAGTTCATTACAATAAAAGAAATGACACTGATATAACTGAGAATTAGACATTGAGTTCATTTAAATATAAGAAATAAAACAACATAATTGAGAATTACCCGATTTTGAAAATTATAGGAGTACATTAAGAAAGCAGTCTATTTTTTAGGATAACTATTTTCATTAAGAAAGTAAAAAAAAAAAACTCAATTATATCAATTAATTTAAAGAGAATTTTATATTATTTTTTTAAATTAATTATAATAACCGCTTCACAATGCAAGATGTATGTGAATAAAAAAGAAAATAATTCATGCACGATAACTTTTTGTACCACTTTTATATTAATCACTGTTAATTATTAATTTATGAGACGCATAAATAATTAAAACATGTACATAAATTCATTAAAAGCAGTGACTTTACTTTTAACATTTTGTGATTATATTAAAACTTTTGTCTAGAACATCAGTAAATTATTCGCTTAATTAAATTGATTTTAAGAAAACAATTTATTAACTCTTAATTCAAAACTATTTGTGTTTCTATAATAATTTCATTGCTTATTTTTAAAGTTGATGAAATTAGAAATATCTATATAACAAAGGGTCATACATATATGTATTAATTGAATAAAAAATTATCCAATCAGAAACCATCATACATGTTAATCACAAACATAATATCTTCAAAATCATATTGAGAATAGGTGTTATTAATTAATAGTGTAAATAAATTATACTATATTACATACTTTATTTTATTACTCTCTTGATTCAATGTAAGTAAAACATTACATTGAAAATGAGCACCATGACGTGATCCTTATAGACAAGGACTCAAAGCGTGTTTGGAAGCTCAATAGAACCTTAGATAACCAATACTTCTAGGAAAGTGATTTTGGTATTCTATCTTTATGACACACTTCTCAGTCTTTGTTGGACTCGTCTGTTCCCACCGAGTTTCTCCCATTCATTTATTTTTTTTTAAAGATTTTTATTATAAATTAAATTTTGACATTCTATGTTTTATTATCATGGATAACACAAGTTTCAAAGTTCACAACAAACACTAATATGTTCTCACGTACATAAATATGATTAATTTTGACTCACAGAAATATGATTTCAAACCAGATATAATTACTTCTCTAAAGATCTTCAATTTGTAACTTTACATAATCTCAATTTTCATTTAACTAAATTACAACACATTCATTCAAAATATCTAATACCTTTTTAATTGGAAATATGGCAAAGTTGTGCATTTTCTAAAATCAAAGATAAATATATCTATTCTAAAATAAATAAAAACTAAAATAACAAATTGAAAAAGAAATAAAACAAAAATTACCTTGTTATCTGCTACTTTAGAGGAAGTAGAATATCAAATTTAAGAATAATGATACTTTCACTGTATAAAAAATTATTGTCAAAATATTATTATCCTAAATTTAAATTCAATACTAAATCAATCATATTTAATGTTCATAAATATACATACACGTCAACTTTTGTACATTTTATATTAATCACTGTTAATTATTAATTAATGAAATACGGGAACGGATGAGGTTTTAAGTTTAAGTTAATTATCAATTTTAAATGTATCATTAAAAAACATTTGATTGATTAAGAATTTTTGCTGCCGTTGATTGTAAGAATCAGAAATGAAGTCACTGCGTTTGACAAGGGTTATACATCAATCATGTTCTTATTTTTATTTATCATTACACAATACCTATAAAATTATATTTTGATTTCAAAATATAAAATAATTTTGAAAAGTTAAATAAAAAATAAAAGTATTAACTTTTTATTAGGCTTAGAAAAATTGAATGGTGTACTTATAGAAATCTCTTTTTTTGACAAGTAGCACAAGGAGTGGAATCCCAAAGTTTTGTAGAAATCTTCTTTTGACAAGGAGTATAGTCCCAAAGTCTATATAACCAACCATCGCGACTACAACACAGAACACATTTCTCTCGCTTAGAACCAAACATGGCTTCTCCTTATGCCTGTCTCAATTCCTCCATCCTCAGCACACCTTCACCTCTCTTTCTCACTCCCCCTTTTCGCACTCTCACACTGCTTCCCAATCCCACCAAACCACCACCGCCGAAACTCTCATCTTTTCCCTCTCTCTCCGTCTCTGCTGTGCCCGCTAAGGTAGACACCGCTGTGAGAATACCGGAAATCGAAGATTTTGATTTCAAAGTCTACATGCTCCACAAGGCCCACACGGTGAACCAAGCCTTGGACGCAGCCATTGCGCTGCGCGACCCGGAGAAGATCCACAAAGCCATGCGCTACTCCCTTCTTGCCGGCGGCAAGAGGATCCGCCCCATCCTCTGTATAGCTGCCTGCGAGCTCGTCGGTGGCGATGATGCCACTGCCATCCCAGCCGCCTGCGCCGTCGAGATGATCCATACCATGTCGCTCATCCACGACGATCTGCCCTGCATGGACAACGACGACCTCCGACGCGGCAAGCCGACCAACCACAAGGTCTTCGGCGAGGATGTGGCGGTTCTTGCCGGCGATGCGCTGCTCGCGTTCGCGTTTGAGCACTTGGCAGCGGCGACCGAGGGTGTGTCCCCAGCACGCGTGGTTCGTGCGATTGGGGAGTTGGCGAAATCGATCGGAGGAGATGGTCTTGTGGCGGGACAGGTGGTGGATTTAGATTCGGAAGGAGCCTCGAATGTGGGGCTGGAGAGGTTGGAATTCATTCATGTGCACAAAACGGCGGCGTTGCTGGAAGCTGCGGTTGTGTTGGGCGCAATAGTGGGAGGTGGGTCGGACGAGGAGATTGAGAAATTAAGGAAGTTCGCTAGGTGCATTGGTTTGTTGTTTCAGGTGGTGGATGACATTCTGGATGTAACTAAGTCGTCCGAGGAATTAGGGAAGACGGCGGGGAAGGACTTGGTGGCTGATAAGGTCACGTACCCTAAACTTTTAGGGATACAGAAGTCCAAAGAGTTTGCTGAGAAACTGTTGCTGGAAGCGAAGGAACAATTGTTTGGATTTGATCCTCCAAAGGCAGCTCCTTTATTTGCATTAACCAATTACATTGCTTACAGGCAAAGTTAATTAATAATTCATATTTCCCTTATTAGTACATGATTTACAGTTTATGAGAAACTGATAGTCTTTTATGGTATTTATGAAATGATAATTTTTCCTATTAAATATAATGAAGATTGTATGATTTATTAATAAATATCAATGACAGAATTAAAAATGTTATTAATATTAAAGATACATTAATACGTTAATGATACTTGAAAAATGAATTAATTAATTGAATAATCTGAGTGAGTAAGTTATATTGAAAAGAGAGTAGCTTAGTTAGTCTGACTGAGTGTGCAAAGTATCTGAAAACATTGGATACCGAGTTTTGTCTCTGGGGACGTGTCAAATAGATTTGTGTTCAGCCTCTGCTTCAATCCTTACTTGTTTGTTTGGTAAGTTGTGTGTATTGAATGTTTAATAAAATAAAGGTCTGTTTTCTAGTTATGTACGCTTTGGCTCTGTGTGTGATCAGCTTTCGGAATTTTTAATAGGATATATTCTTTACGGTCAGGAGCAACTTGTCCTCAGACTCCTCGAACTATTGGCACTTCTTCTACAGGAACATGTGATCATCAAATGCTTTTATCTCTGACATTTACCACATCAATTAATTTCTCTTAAATACTGATCACATTTCTTCTCATTAAAGTTAAACCAGTTCCTCCCTGAAGTTACTCTCTCTCCTTTTCAAAACTGTATTCTCTGTCAATTTTTTTCATTTTCAAGAAAAAGTTTACTTCATCTTTGTGAAGTTTTTCCAGAGAAGATAATCCAGAGATTTTGATAATTGTCTCGTGAATAACTTTATAAAAAATATTAAAACATTATTTTTAATCCAAATTCTTAATAAATCTTATGGGTTTATTATATTTTGTATATCTTTATCTTAATTTTATCGAAGATGTGATTTTCATCTTACCTTAATTCCTATCAATCTTATATTTAAATGCGAGTCTAAATAATTTTATCTCTACTAATTTTTAAATTTTTAGATTCTTCGTATATTTATATTATAGTTGTGTGAATCATCAGTTCAACAAATTATCAACTCTAATATTATTATTAGATTTTTCGATAAAATATATCAAAATATTTGGTATCATCAAATTATGAATAAATTTATAAAAATAAATCAAATATTATTCTCAATCTAAAATGTTAAAACAATATATTTATATGTTTAATTATATATTATTCATTTTATTCATTTATATATATATATATATATATATATATATATATATATATCCCAAAGTAGCATATTATGCCTTTAAATTATACAAATAGCGCAGTTTATAGTACAAGTCCAAAATTTGATTTTTTGGAAAGTCAAATTTTGAATTGTAATTAAGAAGATACTAATTAGAACATATTTTAGAATTTGGTTTTCGAAAAACTAAATTTTTATTTCTCAATTAAAGAAAAAATGGGAGAGAATTTAAAAAATAAAAATATTACTTAAAAACAACACAATTCATAATTCGATCGACTTCTAAACATAAACAATAAACCATATTATTTATCTAAATAAAAGAAAACAATGTACTACATCGGAAAAAGAAGAAACCATGTTATTTGAGTGGGAAAAAATCAGCAATTATGTATTTTATTGAATAATGGTGTTATTTTAATTTAATAAAGGATATTTTTTGTTAATTAAATATATATAAAAATTAATTATGGAAAAATCCATTCCTCTGTTCAATGATATAAATAAAATAATATTTGTCTTAATGAAGATCATAAAATAATGTATTTCCATTGGTGTTGCATTGGTTTAGTTTTTTCTATTTATGTAATTACTTAGTTTTGTGTAATGTATTTTTATTATGGATTTAATATAATAAATTTTTATATTTTTTCATTTTAATAAGTTTTTAATGTTTTGATAGTGATGAATATTATAAAATTATTTGAAAAATTATAATAATATAATAATATAATTATGCTAATAAATTTTTTTGTTTATATATATATATATATATATATATATATAATGATATAAATAAAATATTTGTCTTAATGAAGGTTATAAGAAAATAATTATGCTACAAGAATGTTTGTAAGACCCATGAAAAATATTTACCTTAATAGTAATAATTTTATTACTAGATTTCTTTGTGAATGGAAGATATAATAAGTTTATGTAAAAAAATAAAATGTGAAAAGCTAAATAAGAAATTTTGGTAGTTTAATTGGTAGAAAATTGTGGTGATTTCAAAAACATGGGTTCAAACTCTTTTCTACCTTTTTGTTAATTTTTTTTTAAAATATTGATAGTAAAATTTTTGGACTATAAATAGCCAAGAGCAAGAGATTAAGTCTGGAATAGAGGTACCGGAGCTAACCTTTCTAAGCTTTTATATTATGATTTAGTATTGTTTTATTACTATTCATGCCTTGAAATTATGTGTGAATACTTTTAATGAAAAACATATGTGCTTAATATATATCTATCTATATTGAATTTCTGTGTTAATATTATATGTTGTTGTTTTGAATTTATAAATAAGAAATTTGTTAAAACTAGTTGAGGAACATTTTGGCTAAGGAAAGACTTGGTAGTTAAGTTGTCCATTGTGACGCACCTCTCTTTCCTGGAAGTCTACTCGACAAGTTTTTAACTTAAATCTTGTTGAACAGATTATGTACTGTTAAATTATTATGCAATATATCTTGTTGGAATGAAAATTTCTGATGAATTCATGTTATTGTGGTAGATATAGAATTATGAATTATAATTGTGATGGTAGGATAGAGGAATCTTAAAAATCGGAGTTGGTACATCCCTGATCATAGAGCAGCCCTGGTCAAATCCAGTAAGTTGTGACTAGTCATATGTACTGGCGTTTATGGTGAGTTTGATTCGTCAAATATTTGATTCTTCTCCGGTGACCATTTATGGTGATATTTTAGTATTGTTAATTTATTTTGTGATATATTCATTTTGTATGATTTCTGTGATGATTGTATTTTATTATATTGGATTTGAATTTATGCATTTGAACATGATATGAGTATTATGGGGAGATTTTGTAATGGTATAATATGAGTTGAGGAATATGAGCATGGTATGAGTCTTGTGGAGAGATTCTCTAATGATATGATATTTGTGTATATGTTGATGTTGAAGGTCCTGTTGTTGGAGGTTATCATGATACTCTAATAATCATCTAGTCTCAAGTAGAGAATGATGAATTATGTGGTGAGAGGGGCAGGAGGTTGAAGTGTATTTGTAAGAAGAAGTAAAAGTCATCACAAGTGCATAACCTCCTGTGATTGCTCATCAACATATCATCCGAATGAGTGTCTATTGAGTATTGTGAAATGAGGGTCTATTGAGTATTGTGGGATGAGTGTCTATTGACTACTGTGGGATAAGTGTCTATTGACTACTGTGGGATAAGTGTCTATTGGGTATTGTGGGATGAATATCTATGGTGCGATGGTTGTACGAAGGTATGAGGGTGTCTCACATAATTATTATATGAGGTTTGTTGAGTGTATCAAAGTAATTATGCATGTTTTATAAATGATTTGTTGCATGTTAGTTCACCCTACTTGTTTATCTGAGTTTAACACACACACACACATATATCGTTATACGGGAGCAGATGAAGGAATGTGTCCTATTTCAGTGCCAATGAAGAAAGAGATAGAAGAATAAATTAGAAAAGTTCGAGTTATATTTATGAGTTTTTAGTTGAAATCTGAGTTTAACACACACACACACACACACACACACACACACACACACACACACATATATATATATATATATATATATATATATATATATATATCAACTATGAATTATCAAGTGTGAGATTATGCGATGTTACAATGTTTGTTAACTATTTTTTTTATTTCAATTCAAAATGAATTTTATTTGTAAAACTATTATGAAAATGCTTTTTCTTTGTTATGAAGGTCAACTAATTTACCTGTCATCACAAATAAATTCTTAAGTAAATAAGAATACTCCAGAGACGAATACAATAGATTTTTATGCTTTATATCAGGCCATTTTCATCATATTAAAATGTAATTATATTTTTTTAGGGTTTCCAATTTTTTTTCTATTAATTGAAAATAATAAAAGTATAATGGTTGAAGAGAAGACGAATTAGATTTGTTCCTAGATACGGCTATCTGAAAAGGTTAGAAGCGCGAATTTTCGCTTCAACATTAATGCATAACTTAAATTTCTTCCGGAAACTAAAATTCCTTGTACTTTTAGCACCTAATATGAATTCCTTGACTCCCCGTGAACCACATGCAGAGAGATAAAAACATGATAGTTGTTAACATTTATTTTTTCTGTTCTAAGTCGTACTACATATCTCTGTTCTTCAGACATTTCTAATGTTTTACTGAAAAGTTAAATAAAATATTGTATTTAATAATTTAATACATTTTATGTGATAATTAAAAATATTGTTTGATGAAATAGTTAGAAATAGTAAGAAATTTTTTTATACATAATTTAACTTTATAAAATTGATATGCAAAATAAAATTTGTATTTATTTATATATTTGAAATTTATTTACTTTTAGTTATTATTTTATTTGTAGTTTATATACAAATTTTAATACTATATTTCAAACACAAGATTATATATTATTGTGATTCGACATTGACCAAATGACATCATAAGTTTATCAAATAATAAACATTAATCTTTCCTTTTTCCCTTTCAGTGCAATTTTTTCATCAATTTTTTTAACCCAAAGAATAAAAAAGCAGCAACAAACTGGATCCAACTTCAAGTACTCTCTAATTTTGTTTTTCGTGTCGTACTTGAGTTTCTCAATTTTTAAGTACAAAACTTTTCGACACAACGGGCTCTTGTTCTTAATCTCCTCAATAAAGTTTGCAATAGACGACAGCTTTTGTTCCTTCTTTTTTAGTCCCTTATGATGAATGATTTAACATTGCAAGTCGCCATTTGCAAGAGCATTCACATTTGCCGTTTTTCTAAAATCAATCTTGATTGAAATTTTATGAAAATTAAAAACCACACTTTTTTAACAAATGAAGACTAATCATCGTGTAAGGCGCAAAATGTTTGATTATTTTAAAATTAAATAAAATTAATTTCGAATTATGAAATATAATTAAAAGTGTATATATATATATATATATATATATATATATATAAATTATTATTAATTGTAGCTTTTCAATTCTATATAACTTATTGAAAAAATACTATAGTTTGTTTTAATCTTAACTATGATTTTAACTTCTTGATTATCATATTTATTATGCAATTTGACTATCAATTTCCAGTTCGATACATTGGAATTCTGGCCTTCTTCCACCTTTATATTTTTTTTTCTCGCATTTCTACATTAAAAAAATATATTTTATTTTTTAATTATGTAATCTACAAATTAATTTTTTGAAAAGAGACTTATGGATTATACAATATAAAAGTAAAAAATGATTTTCAAATTATATAATACGAAAGTCAAATAACTTTTAAACTATATAATTTTAAAATTATTTTTTAATTGTTTTTGGATTTCGGATTGTATAATTTAAAAATAATTTTTAATTTTTGATCGTGTAATTCAGAAATCATTTTAAATTTTGAGATTGTATAATTTGAAAAATTACATAATCCAAAAATAAATACAGAATGTTAATTTGAAGGTGAAGTTAGGCCCATGAACCATCACCCCTTCGTCCGAAGCCCAACACTGCGATATTAAAGCTCTCTAAATAAGAAACATAAAAAATAAAAAACATCATAACTATATACAAGTAAAATATTTAAAATACAAAAACTATAATTATTAATAAAGTATAATATATTCTTTCTTTAATTTTGTACCATTGCATTATTGTTTATATAATATCAATATGATATATTTTACACTCACATGAAATTAGAGAAATGGTTTACTAAATTTTATGCTGACACTTAATTTGCACAACAAAAACAGAAAGATCAATATTGCACCATCTAGTCAACAAGATAGGAAAAGTAAAACTTAGCATTGAAATTCAAAGAAACAGTAGAGAACGCGCACATCTTTGGTTTTTTAGTCTCGTTCTGGAAGGGTAGAAGACCAAAGACGATGAAGCTTCTCTGAAGCTTCAAAAACCGAACTAGAACTGAGCCCAAAGTCTCTTTGGTGTTGCCGACCCACTTCTTCCTCCACTTCTTCCATGGTTGGGGAAATCGCGAACCCTCAGACTTCTCAATTACGTTCATAGCCTCCCTTGGGCAATCTTAACACCCAACTCACTTTCGTGTATCATGGTTTTCACTTAATTGAATGTCCGATTCTTTTCACTCACCCTTTGGGCGAAACTCAAGTGAGACACACCAAAGTAATTCTTAAACTTCGACTGAATCCCAGGTACTAAGAACTTCTAACCCGGCCCTCTGCGTGTATACACTTAAAAATTGAAGCTTTAATTTATCCTCTTTTTAGAATTTATTTTTATTTGTACCTATTACGTGTTCACTAGTGAGGATTTCCTTTTGGGTGCTGGATCTTGCCACATTCTGAGCATCTTTCTTGCTTGAATCTCAAAGCCGGAATCTAATTGATTTTATGCCCTTTTTGAGGATTGGAAATATTGGTAATTGATTGTAAGGAGAGAGAGAGAGAGAGAGAGAGAGAGAGAGAGAGAGAGAGAGATAGAAAGTTAATTGTAGTCCATTTGCCCTTGTAATTTTTCTGAAGTTGGGTTAGGTTTAGTCTTTGTTAGGACTAAAATTGTCTATGATGGGAGGTCAATCAAGTAAGATACCTAGTAGTAGTGATGTTCCAACGCCCATAAAAATGGGTAGTCATTCTCTCTATGCGGATGATTTAAGTTCTTATGAAGCGGCATGTGTTGAAGATCCAAACTTGCAATCCCTTGATGCTACCATTCAGGAGCGCACCAACAAGGTGATCTCCTCTCTTGCTAGTGGGATTGAGGTTCGTTCCATATCCATCGAGTCACTGGGGGAAGTGACTGGTAGTTTGCTTGATATGAATCGGGATGTTGCCAAAGTTATTCTAGAATGCAAGCAAGATATATTGAATAAGAAGGACAAGGAGTTGTTCTCCTTGGTTGGGGAATTCTTTGAAAATAGCCTCCAGACATTGAAATTCTGCAATAGTCTTGACAAATGCTTGAATCGAGCACGCGAAAGGCATGTTATAGTTAAATCTGCAATTACCTATTTTGAGGAAGAGGTGCAAAATGGGGTTGAAGGGTCTACTTATTTGAAGACATTGCAAGAGCTTAAGGGTTTCAAGGAAGCTGGGGACCCTTTCACTGAAGAGTTTTATTCCTTGTTTCAATCAGTTTATGAAAAGCAAGCGTCAATGCTGAAGAAACTGCAGATCAGAAAGCAAAAGCTTGATAAGAAATTGAAGTCCCTCAAGACACTGAAGAGGGTCTCAAATGCTATTTTCGTTGCTGCCTTCGTGTCTGTATTGATTTTCTCAGTGGTGGCAGCTGCAATTGCTGCACCACCTGTTGTAACTGCTTTGGCTGGTGCTCTGGCTGTTCCGGTAGGCTCAGTGGGGAAATGGTGTGACTCACTTTTTAAGCGATATGAGACAGCTCTGAAGAGCCAAAGAGATTTAATCAGTTCTATGCACGCTGGTAGTTACATTACATTGGTGGACTTGGACAACATTCGGGTGCACATTGACCAATTGGAAATAAAGATTGAATCCATGTTGCAGAGTGCTGATTTTGCTCTGAAAAATGAGGAAGGTGTTAGGTTTGCGATTGATGAGATTAAGAAGAATATAGACACTTTTGCAGAGACTATTGAGGCTTTGAGTAAGCAAGCTGACGAATGTAGTCGCCAGATAAGGAGAGCAAGGTCAGTGGTTGTGAAAAAGTTTATTAATTACTCTGGTTGAGAGCCCCTTGTCATCTTCTTTTGCTCCTGCCAAATTGTACTCATTAAACACCAAGAACAACAGCATTATTGTTCTTATGATTATGAAAGAAACATAGACATGTTAACTTGTGTATAACAGTTGTATTCTATTTCTATGCTGCCTAATTGCCTATATATACAAACAGCTTTCCTGCTTAATTTTTTTTCTTGTTACTGGTTTGCTAGATGAAATTGAACATCACCTGTTAGTGTGGCAACAATAATGGAATAACGAGAAACACAATCAAAGCTGGAATGTGTGTCGGACATTGGTAGAAAAATATATATATATATGCAGTTGTGCATTGCAGTTAAACCACCCTCTCTTCTTTAAGTTAGGACTCTTCTTCAGAAATGTTACTATTTAATGTAGATTAATGTGGTCATTATTTTGGGAATTTTATTTTATAACCTAATCTATGATCAATTTAGTTTCCTTTCCGGTCTTCTTTTTCTCCCTCTTCCTCTTTTATTTATTTTTTTTCCCATTCTCTGAAGAAAAACATATTTCTATTTTCTTTCAACTAGACTCTTCTTTCGTCATTCCTGATCTTAATTCTTATGTATTTCATTATCAGATATTATCCTCAAAACGGTACTATGCTAAGAAACATTTCTAAACTGGGTTTTGAAATAGAATAAGGCCATTTATAATTTCCTTGCTCATTAATTTTTTTTTCTCTGCATGTAGATAATACTCAATAGATAAATTAGTTTAATTGTCCAAATTAAACCAAAAAAGAGAGACATATACAACTTTTAAAAATAAATAAAAACACTAAAAAGCTCAATATATTTTTTTAAAGTCTAAAATTATAATTATATGATAATATATATTTTATTTAAGAAACACAAATTTTATTTATGTAATGAAACTTAAAATTTACATTTATTTACAAGCTTTTACCTCTACAAAATACCTATACTAACTCATTAGTTAAAAAACTTGTAAGATAGGGGTTTATTAACTACCAAGATCAGTTTATAAATTAGAGAAAGAATGAATAGTTTGTAGAGTGTTAACTTTTTGAATAATGTTTTATTTATCTATTATTTACAAATTTAAAAATTATATTAATTACTTTTTTATGAGTTATACATTTACATGTCTGTAATATTTAGATAATTTAAACATATTTATTAGAGTAAGGGGATTTTATTATATTTGAGTGTATGTGTAAAAACAACTAGTCAGATAAAATAGATAACAGAAGGAGTGATGTTATCTGATATAGGATTGAACTAATTTTCAATTTTTAGTGTTGCAGAAATCGGGAAACAGGCTGCTTAAATTACATTCATTGCAAGGTAACAGACAGCTGTTAAACTCGATACTAATAAAGAAATAAATATCATCAAAACAACATTAATTACAAATCTTAAATTAAATCGAACATTAAATATCATTACAATATATATCTTAGTGAATTCCATTGTTCTATATAAATATAAGATCACGTAACACAATTTGAGATCTTTATTAACTTTATATTAATCTCATAAAAGACTCTACAATTTAAGTTTTAGGTTGTGAAAATGTATAAAAATAAAAATAAAATTGAGCTGTGAAGGGGTATAATATAAGAACTTATGTTCTAGAAATTTTTATAATTCTTCTAAAAGAATTCATCATTCGCACTGTAGATTTTTTTTTATGTAGATTTATAGTCTGTATATAAGATGTGAAATGATGATCTTGGATTCAAGAAATCACTTCTGGTAAAGGCAAAAACCAAAACTTCGAAAAAGTACCCCTCCTCTAAGATTATACATAGCATCCACATCACAAGTAAAGACATTTAATTACAGGGTTTGATCTTCACTTACGAATTGAAAATTCAATGGCATCAACTGCTGAACCTCCTTTCTAAAGCAATGAATGAATCTACGAAAGAGATGAAGGATGATTGTATAAATTAGTTATATTACAGTGCTATCGATCAAAAAGAGTACTCCATTAAAAAAAACACTTTACAGATCTTCCTAAAAACATATTTGTCCTTATAGAGAATCTGCGCATATGTTGTTAATTGCAAAGTGAGAGTGTCCAATTCCACAAACAACCTTCAATCTGTGATTTTAACTGGACTTCAATTTATTGCTATCTGCTTCCTTTCCAGCGCAAAAAACAGAGCAGGAACGAGCGATTTTATTCTCATCACATTCGTAATCACCCATATTCTTATTAGGTTTCCTCTTCCTTCCTAAATACACTCTCATAAACAGCATCAGAATAGCACCGTTCAGCACAGAATTCAAGACCCACGCGCCAATCCCGTTACACCCCCCTGTGAAGAAATGCAGCAAAAGCACCCCAACGTGGCACACCAAGTTGCACCCAAGCAGCAAAATCTGGCAGTTCAGCACCAGCGGCAAACGCGCGCCCGTCGCCGCCACGGAGGTCCAGAACCGGTACCCGTAAATGACGAAAAACGCCAGCGTGGTGAAAAGGATCGCGAGAACTTGAAACGACTGCGAGAACTCCAACCAGAGGAACGACATGAACGTGGAAATCGCGTGATAAAACAGCTTGAAGAAAACCAGCTTACGGCGTTGTAGAACGACCGAAACGGTGCTCAACATGTGCACGTAACGCGACAGGTAGAAAACGTAGGACCAGAAGAAAACGCGGCCGGAGGGGCGCGTCCCGAGGGGGAAACAGAGTAGCCACTCGAGAGGGGTCTTGGAACGCCGCCAGAGCCACCGCGTCTCTCTGATCTCCGACGTGGCCGAGAGCAGAAGGCCGGCGAAGATGGTTGCTGAGATGAGGGACATTGAGAGGCTATGAAGCGCCGGTAACGGCCCAAGTGGAACGCGTTGGCCCCGGCGAAGAAGAACCGCTAATATTAGGTGGAGACAAATGGAAAGAACGACGTAGAGCGAGATAGAGTAGAAGAGGAAGGACCAGGTTGAGCCCCATAGAGCGTGACTCCATCGGAAACTCACGATAACGGGGTGCTCCGAGAGGTAGAAGTTAAGAGCCCGCATCACCGCCGTGGGCTTACCGAGGGTACCGCCGGACGGTGACGTGTACATGCCGTTGATTCTGGTCCTCTTCACATTACCCTCCTGTTTCCCTGGTTTTGTCGTTGTCGTATGTTGTAAATTTGTTGAGTTTTGTACTGGTGGACCGTCGAGACTCAAGGAGAGAGGAGAGAGAGAGAGAGAGAGGAGAGAGAGAGAGAGACATTAAATTTGTGGTGTACGCAGTAAATAGGGCTGTCCAAGTTGATAGGTGGCGATTGATTATTGATTTGAACCACCCGCTTGAACTACTACGCGCTAATCAAATAACGACTCTGGTAACGGAAAACTACTACCCTCTTCCAATCCTATTTCACTTTCCAAAATCATGATCACATTCTTAATCCTCAAATTCAATAGTATCTATTTTTATTATTTCAAATTATTGTTTTCTTATACTCTTTCATGTTGAATATAAGAGTAACATCACAGCTACTTCCAATTAAATTTAATTTAATCATTTCGAACATTTATGTTTGTAATCAATTAGCTACTCGTATTCTAAAAGTTTTCAATTAGATTCCTTTCTTTTATAAAATTAAGTCAATTTTAAACTTACCGTTAAATTTATTGGATGGTGTTAAAATTTGTGTAGTTTAGTTTGTTCACTGTGCAATTTTTAATGACTGGATGGTGTTAAAATTTGTGTAGTTTAGCTTGTTCACTGTGCAATTTTTAATGACGTGTCCTGTTACTTCTTACTCTCCTATTACCTCTTTCACTCTCTCTCATGTTACCTCTCTCACTCCCGCAATGTAATTCTAAAAACCCTAATTCCCCTACATACGCTCTCTCATCTCTTTCAATTCCTGTGATTAATCGATTGCTTGTCGTTCGTTTGCTGGTAAACAATTTCGACACAAATGAAAACCAAGCTGATCCGACAGCTGTGAAACCCAGGTGAATCCCAAAGGTAGGGGTCGAGATTCTTTTCTTTCTCATTGTCATCTTATGTAGTGGTGTTTTTGACTTTTTTTGTTGACTGAATAATAGATGGTGAGCAAATAAAGGCGGTGAAGCTAGCGTTGCACTTGTCCATGGAGAAAGGTCGGGAATCTGTACATTTGCGGGTGTCCCGGAACTGGAAAATCGTTGTCTATGGAGAAAGTGATAGAGCAAACAAAGGGAAAAATCTTGAATATGGACATAAAGTGATGATGGAAAACACTAACTCCCTAGCGTGCACGCGACTGTTAAAGAGAGGAAACCGATCGTAGAAAAAAAAAATCTGCAGATTGAAATCCCTAAATTGGAAGATTGAAATCATAATTTAAGGAATCAAGGAATTCAATGGAAACACTCTCACTCCGTCCTCGCAGTCGAGGTTGCTGGCCCAGTCCGAGTTTTTAGGGAAGAAGGGTGATGAGGAGGAGGACGATCCGCTTTTGGAAGAAGATCTTCCTGATGAGTTTAAGAAGACTCATTTCAGCTTCTGGATTCTTCTGGGTGAGTTTGATTCTGATCATTGGATTTTTGATAACCACCCTTTGCATTCCCTGGAGATGTTTTAATTAATGTTTTCTAAATATGCAAATAAAAGAACTTCAACTCAGGCCACGTTAGTAAAATTTGGTAACGTCATTTTGTCACCCACAACAATTTTTAACACCATCTACCCAAATTAAAGGCGAGGACTAAATTGATTCAATTTTACACAATAAAGGACCTAATTGAGACCATTTTGAATACGATGACCTAATTGAGAAAAACCTCCACAAATAAGGATGTTCGAAATGATTAAACCTAAAATAAAATATGCAAATAAAATAAAAAAATAAAGAAAATTATTAAAAATAATAATACCTTTGGAAATAGGAATAACAAATACAAAAAAGTCTTACAAAAAATCAATTCCCTCTCTTAATTTTTTTTAATGTAATTTTATTAAAAGTAAGAAAATTACATATCTTTCTTTTCAAGGAAATAATAATAATATACTTTCTTGAAAATAGAAAAAAAAAATACAAGAAAAATCTATAAAAGAAAATTAATTTTCTCTCAATTTTTTTTCTCAAGCTAGAAAAAAAGAGGTTTTAGAATGTGTTGGAAATCCTTCCTTGACCAAAGATAAATATAATTTAGAATATATATATATATATATATATATATATATATGTGTGTGTGTGTGTGTGTGT